GTGAACACAACACCAAATCATCTGCTCTTTCAATGTCATGACAGAGGCGGGCATGGAGTCCGATGGCATCACGTCCAGAAAGGCCACCAGCCAGTTCGGGAACAGCCCATTGTTGCGTCCAAGCTCCCAAGCGCTTCACTAATGCAGAAGCTCCAATACGCCAACAAATGGCGTGTTCCTCCTGTAGGTTTGTGAAGCAAAACCACAAGCGTAGTGCTCCAAACTTCAGGGATCTGGCCGAGGACCAGTGCCCGATTCCACAAAAGAGTCAATGATTGCCACCGCGGGTCAGGAAGACGTAACAAATCGTCAGCGCTCCAGCCGTCGGCTCCCGCGGCCTTGCCGCGGCACTTGCGAGCAGCGTGCAAAAGGTCACCGACTTGCAGCGCAAATGCATCTGCGTCCAGTGGGTGATGCGGCGCCAAGGGAAGCCATTCCGACAAAAAATTCAGGTGCTGGTCTTTGGCTAGGGGCCACGCAGTTTGTAGTGACGCCGTACCATCGGCAGGGTGTGGAGTGTTCCACAGTTGATGCCAGGTGTCAGCTTCTTGTTCCACTCGATCCCGTGGATGGACGCTCTTGTGCAACACAGAATTCGTCGAAGGAGAAGGGGTGGGAGCTTGTTTCCGCAACCACTGTCGTTGCGCCGCCGGGTTCTCATGAGTGTTTTCCATCCAACGATGGAGGCGCAGGTTTTGCTGCGTTTGGGTTTCCATGTGGAGCAAAGTCTCAACTGTCGGGATGACATCAACAGCTTCAACGCACTGTGTCAATTCAGGGTAAAGGTGAGTCAGCGCAAGGCGTTTCCTCAACAAAGCCTGCTGAGAATCAAAACACGGCCTTCGCTGGTGTTCGCGCGCCGTTCTCAGTAATCGAAGCAACCTCCGGTGTTTTACTGACTCAGCAGGGTGAGCATGCTTTGACTTCTGAGGTCTCTGTGTGGGCTGCCAAGGAATTGCTCGGCGGTGTCCATGGGGACTCGATCCAAGTAGTTCTTCAGCGACATCGCTCAAAAGTGTCCAAGCAGCATCCAAATTGCCTGCTAATAAAGCATTGTCGGGGCCCAGTCTTCAAAAAATGCATTGCAGTCGAACACTACGCCATTGGCAAGCAAGTGTGCAATGCAGCCCTCATCCTGCTGACAATTGAAATCTCCAAGCATGACAAAGTCCTGCCAGTATGGCGAAGAAGGCGACCGGTGTGGCGCAACAACTCATCACGGGCCACCCTGTTGGCTTGGTGTGCATACACATTGCACATCAAAAGAGGGCGACCTCCTTCCCGATGGAGCTGCGCAAATTGAACACGCGATAAGTCAATTGGCGCTTCTTGCCGCGCCGGGCTCCAAGCTTCACATGGCACTTTGGACAGGATGGCCGTTCTGTGGTGACCATGGTGCAAAGCTCCAAGCAACAAAGAGCAGCCACGGCTGGTGGCTTCGGCCTGCAAGCCGATGGCGCTGCTCGCATGTATGTTGGCCTCTTGTATGCACAAAAAATGTGAGACTCTGTGTGTGGAAAAGGGAGAAAACTTCCTCAAACGTGTGGATGAAATGTTGCACGTTGAGTGTGCCCAGTGTGAGTGCATGTGCCTGCGGTTCCATCATGGCTGGCAGGGCCCGTGTGCCTGTGTGTTGGCTGCAAGGTTCTGCTGCAACATCTGGATGGTGGTGTTTGTCAACGTCCGCATCTCGCCGGGTGTGTGGAGAGGTGTGGGCTTAGGTGTATCAGCAATGGCCTGGAGGCGCTGGATCATGGCCCGGCGGCGCTTAGCGTCAGGCTTGGACATGCGAGCCTGGCAGGGCTTGGCTAGGATGGTGCGCACCTTCTGCTTGCTATTCTTACAAAGTTTGCCGCATGCCTTCTGCTTGCAGAGCCGGTGCCGTCATCCTCAATGATGATGATCTGTTGGTGGCACCAGCGATGATGATCTTTGAGATGTTGTAACCCTCGTCTGCCGAGATCTTGCCGAAGGAGGTGTCAACCTTATGGGTGAGGTCTCCTGGATCGAAGCCGACCTCCCACGCCACACGTGTGCGGCAGCCGCGAGACGCTCCGCGACCCGTGCCACGAGTGAACGGCCGGCGCGACCGTGTCGGGCGCGGGAGCCAACTCCTTTTCGGAGCCGGCTCCGCTACCAAACTCGCTTCTTTGAACCTCAAGGCGCGCCTGGATCAGGCATGTATGCCATGTCATGGAAACTTCACTACCATGGACTACCCGAAACAACCAAAATCAAGCCGTTTCTTCCATTCTTTACATTGTTTGGGCCAGTCCGACCCATCTGATTCGGTGGAACCGTCGGACCCCCATCCGCCCGGTCTCTCCGGGTCATAGGTCTCGGCGATGAACTGGCCAATTTGCTCCTGACGATCGAAGACGTCTCTGGGCGTTCTCGCGTTCTCGAAGCATGATCCAAGCATGATCGAACGAAAAGGAGGGGTTCTGGTCTTTGGGGTGCTGGTTTCTTGATCCAACAAGTGAGTGCACAGTGGAAACCCCTATAGTCTCCGAAAAGCAGTTGCAAATTTAATATGAATCGGTGGGATTTTGAGAACACCAGCTGCTAGACACTCCCTCTCAAGACTCGGGTAGAAATGTATGGTCAATGTATGACAATATCATGACATTATCATGACAATATCATAATTATCGCTGTATCTTTCCCCTGCGCTGAAGTTGAGCGGCTGGCTTCCAAGTTGAGCTATCCCTCAGCAATGCTAGAAACAATCTAGTAGTGGAGGGCGGAGGGTGTTCGCAAGGAAGTCGGGAATCCCTACTCACCTGGTTTCCAAACCCTCAAAAGATCTCCGAAGAATCAACCACTACTTCACGGAGTCAGTCTTGTAGACAAGCAAAACCTCCCACATCTGAGACTACAACGGCTAGAACGGCTGAAAAAAATTGCTTTAAACAATTTATAAAAGCATGGGACTCCAGTCGACAGGGTGACCCAAGTTCTGGAACTGTTTTTTCAATGTGGCAAAATATACTTTACACTTCCAAAGCATATGGCGCACACGAAAACCACCCACACTCACCAAAAACAGCTTCAGGCCCTTCTGGCGCAAAAATCCACCAACAGCCTCCAGGCCTGGAAAACCCGTCCTTTCGCCTTGGGGATCAACGGATCAACCAAGGGGATGCCGCGGCCAACCCACCCTCTCCTTGAGCGCATCTTGCCCCGAAGCGTCGAAGTGATTCAGGGAACCTGCGATGCCCCTTGTTCCTAGTAGCTTCTTGTTACTAGTAGTAATGCCAGGAGCTACTAGTAGCGTCCTTGTGGCTCACATGTGGAGTGCGATCTTAACTCATTCGTTCTGGTCCTCACCTTGGAAGCAAGGGCTACCTTGGAGACACTTTTTTGGTTTAATCTCAGCTGTCCATTTAAGAACAAACATTGCACGCATAGAGCTGTTTACACACCCGTGAGGTCAGCACAATACACAGCTGTGTCCACATGGGCCAAAGAAGCTGCGCATATTCCACCATGAAGTGCAGCATATATTGATTGGTCTCTATATATTATTAACTATATTCTATCCAATCAAATTACCGTACTCTATCTTGAGGTGCGTGTTTGCTGACTCCTTCCCAAAAAGAAAAGGAAACGCAGAAAATCACAAAAGCATGCAGAAAATACAACACCACCCCAAACTCTCTCAAGCAAGAGGGCCACTGGCTGATTGACCTGTTTACATCTGCTTACCCTTTCAACACGCGGGCCATTTAGGCATTCAGCGCAGGAGAAAACGGGACGAGCCGTCGGCCGCCGCGCCTGCGTTGTACACCGGCTGCCCTGCCGGTGCCTCTTTACGGCCCAGTGAGCTGGTGGACTGAAGCAAGGCAGCTCCTGATGGCCGAAGCCACTGGACGAGGTTCGATGAACCTGTCACATGGAGTCACATGGATTGACATGGAAGACTTCTTAGCGGATTTCCAGTGCCATGTCAGTGACTGGCGAGTCTGAGGGTACATCCTTTACGGGGCTTGGGCGCCCTCAGACGCCGAAAAACGCTGTTGAGGTGCGTAGAAACTGTTCTCCCCGCGACGAGGTCGCTGGTCTATGCTCATGTGGAAAGTGGTTGGGAACTCCCTGTAGCTCCAAACAGCTTACAACGAGAGAGAGAGAGAGAGATGGCCATACTGGTAGTACCATGTCATACCTCCAGATCCTCTGCTTTGGCTGGTCACTTTCAAGGACGAGAAATCGTGGGAAACTCGTGAGACTACCCTTGATCTGGATGAGGCATGCTGGGTTTGTCAGACTTGTGTTAACACGTGAACAACAATGTCCTTGCGCGAAAAATAAAGGGGTGGATTTGGTACCATGCATATATGCTGTAATATATTGTAATATATATAATATATATATATATATACACCTTTTGGTAGTTCATCCGGAGGCATCCTCTCTCTATTCACTATTCATCAGCCCAAATTGGGCCACTCTTTGGGCCGGTGAACGGGGCCGGGACCGGAAACCTTCGGACGCGCTCCATCACCACCGGCCCCGGGCCCAAGGCCCCCCCCCAGGCCGGCTGAGTCTCTCAAGGACGCCTTTACAGGTGGTGGTCTGGTAAACATGAATTCCATATTAGTCCATCCAACATCCAACCCATCCGCTTTCGTGTGTTTGCCGGTTCGCGGTCATGGCTGGAATTCTGTGCTGCTATGCTCCGTTCTCGCCGGCGAGTCCCACACGCGCGGAGCGCGTACGGCCTGTCACACACTCGTCCGCCGCTGCGAAGACCCACAGGCTCGCGAAGAGGCCAAAGCCGCGGCTCGTAAGATTGGGGCGCATCCCTTTGGGATGGAAATCGATGGAGAGTAAGATGAGTCTAAGGTCCAAAGAGGGGCTGCGGCGAACGCGGCGAAGTCGGACTTGGAATTTGCGTTTCAACCATGTACAGGCAAGCCAGTGAAATATTCAAGCGTGATGTCCAGAATGCATTTGCAGACTGTTCAGGGAGACCTTCTTCTCAGTGCCAAGTACCAGGCATAGGTGATGGCCGAGATGATGCCATACGCCAGCATCAGAATGAAGTACCTCCGTTCATGGCAATTGAGTGGCAGCAGCAACTGTTCATAAACTGCCCTTTGCCACCATTTGCAGGTTAAGTTTAACGTGCGGAGACCGTCCCGGAAACCCCCGATATATTTACATAATATTAACCAAAATGAACTCTGAACCAGGAATTCCAAGATTGCCCATTGGGCAAACGCAAAAAGTAGCACAGTACCGTACATCATTTTACCGCTCCAACGACCAGTCGTCCCATCCCAAAGGAGGCGTCGTCCAAGGTGCTTGTGGTTCTTGGCACCAACACCTGGGTCTGTTCGATTGGAGCACCAGGGAAATTCAACCTCCTGTGCTGTCAATGTGTGCGCAAAAGGACAAGCAGCACACACCATTGTGGTAAATGCAACTTGCACAAAGCTTGAAGGGATTGACTCAGCTTCAGGGCTTCAAGATGTGACGGAAGCGAGTGTGGCAGCAAGTGTAGCAGCTTATCCATATACTATGGCACAGTCCCTGAGAAAAAACCAAACGATGCTTGCGTTGAGTCTTTGAGGTGCAAATACGAGATCTCATGAAGTTTTGATAGAAAATGATAGAAGCATGTGGTACAGTATGGTACAGTGATGTACAGTGATGTACAGCGCCCCCAAACAAAACTCGCGCATGTCAATCGTGGATACTGAAAAAAGAACAGCTGTTTAGTTAGATTGCAAACCAATGGAAAACAGTTGTGACTCCCCTGTAGCACATTGCAAGCTCGCTACAGCGGCACCAAACCAGCCAAAGAACGCAAATCGAGGCATCCAGGCACACAGCACCAAGAAGCATCAACCAAACATCCAGCAGAACCGCACCGCAAAGAAGCAACTATCGAGGCATCAAATAGTCAACGCAAAATAAGAGTACCGCCCACTCATGCCCACTCACAACACACGCGCTTGACCAAGGCGCAGTTTCCAACCCAGGGGCAGTGATGGTCCTCAGCAACATTGGACAAAGAGCCCAGATTGCCCCCAAGACAGGACCATCAAAAAACGAAATACCTTGAACTGAGCCCTCTGAATATGTTTTCCGTATGCCCTGGCCTTCCGAGATCATGAAAGGAAAGGTTGACCTGGTTTCTATAGTGTATAATCCTTATATAGTAAAACAATTGTTGTTCAGTAAAACCCTTTGAACCAATGGTGGTTGGAATCCTATGGGATATGTGTTCCCTGTTTTGGCAGGTGAACATGCTGGCTCCTGTGGTGAAGGCTCTGTTTCATCTGCCCCTGGCTCACGCTCGTCCACAACGAGTGGCTGAGTTGGAACTGCAATGTCTCCCAAGGACCTCGTCTTACGAATTACGAATCACATGTTATTTCATCCCTACCCCTTAGCAGGGGGGCACCTCAAAAAATGGTTAAGGGGGGTGGGGATGTTATTTCATATAATTTCGCTGGTCTCATTTGTTCTGCGGAGGATCTATGGCCCGCCACCTGTCCCCTCTACCCAGACTTGTCTGGGTCTCCCCTGCCATTCGCAGGACGCACTTGCCGCAAACGCTACAATGGTGCGCACCTCCACCGGCCAATGGTGCGCTGTGGCGGAATGTAACTGGCCCTTGAGTCGTACTCTGACGAAACACATCCACATGAAAGTGGAGTCCCGGTCCTTTGGAAGACGATGTTCCTTTTCGCAGGGAAGGCTCAGATGGGGCCATGAGGGCCATGAGTGCCATCCGTGGGACCCACGCACGGGTCCAGGTACCTTTCCTTGTGGTTTTCGGCACTTGCTCAACCCAGACACGACCCATGGGACTGCCATAGGACTGCCGATCAATTGAGTCAACCCCGGACGACCCGTCTGTGACGACTCTCTCCCCCATTGATCAACATGCGATTGTCCTACCCGCTGTTCGTGCAGAGTTTGCTGTCTGATCAAACCCTTGATGAGCAATGCCTAAGATCCGCCGAAAATACGATCTTCTCCCGGACCCCATTCGCAGAAAACAAACCAGTGTCAGTGTGGGTCAATTTGAAGAAAAATATCACCTCTAAACCAGGGGTTCATGGCCATGCGTGGGGCCATGCCCATGTTTTGGGCGCCCAAACGCTCCGGTCGCACCACTTGGCATTTGGCGCAGCTCGAGACCCGCCTTAGGCGGCGTTAAGGTGAGCTGATGCATTTGCTAATGACTTTTGTGAATGACTTTTGAATATAGAGTTCGATTTGGCTGGCCTTGGTTGACCTACCTGGATTGGTGTATGGAGCCACATGGGAATGGGTCAAAAGCTCGAGCCCTGGTCGCGGGTCCACCACTAGGTCAATGATGGTCAATCAATCAAGGGTCCTGGTGCCATGAACTACAGCCAGTTGGTTGGTTCACCTCCGGGTGTCCGGGTGTCCCCTCCACCTGGAAGACCAAAGGACACCTCTGTGGCTGCTCCCCAGCAAGGAAGTACAAGGCGCCACAATGGGATGCTATTTATGAGGAGATAGTCAGGGAGAGTCATCATGATTTCAGGGTCTTGGATTACACCGATTTCGCCGTCAACATCTATCCGGAGATCTATCCCAAGTTTTTTCCGCGGCGACCATGAGACCAGGGCGGACGCCGGGGTCTTGGGGGTGTGCTTCCGAACGGCCGTCTCGTCACCCTGTGGTCGCCACACCGGGCGCCCACGTGACTGGGGCACCCAAGCCCTGGTTGCCACCCGAAGAAGCTGGGCTCCTTCGAGGACCGGAAAGGACCAGACCTAAAGATCCCCCAGAGACCTGGAACCGCCATGGGCGGTGAGCGCGTTCAACCCAAAGGCGGGACTGAGACTGGGTGCAGACCGAACTGAATTGGTTGAATCAGGAAATGGAAGTTGAATGAATTTGATGAATGACTAGTTTTTGATGACAATTCCATTTAACATCCTTTAACCAATTCATTGGGCTTAGTTCAATAGGACAAGCTCTACGACCTACGCGGTTTCCGAAAAAGGTCTACGACGAGTCCGGGTCGATATACAGTCCATGCGTGGGTCCCGCCGTGTCAGGAGTTGTCCAGTTGCGAAAGGGGTTCTTCACCATCATTCGTCACCCCACAAGACCCAATTCGTCAGTTACTTTTAATATTTCGGAGTCAAACTCAAGGTCTAATTGTGGTCTAATCACTGAACATGCAGTGACAAATTGGGGGGGGGATCAAAGAAACACAAACCATGCAAAGCGTGATGGTTTTCTCGTGTGTCTTGGAACTATACATCGATGCATTGGTCCAATGCAAAAGAGATACAAAGACTCCTCGCCGCTATGGGCGGCGTGGGGCCAGCGCTTGTTTTTTTTTCTGTACTGTGGCGCCAAGTTACCAGTCCAGACCTGGATCCCTAGCTTGACCTTCCAGGTAGTTCAAGCAAGGTATATAATTATCCTGTTTTTGACCCACAGCCATCTCTTTTTGCAGACCTGTCTCCAAAAAACCAGCAGTTCCCCTCCCAACCCGAGCTCCGCCCGACAGTGCTGGTGCTCGTCTAACCACCTGGCTCGGGGCAAACGAAGAACTGATGCACCTGCTGGAGCTCGGGAGTTGGAGCATTGGATTGGCTTGAGAGAAACAGCTACAGAAAAACATGGCTGTAATTGGCTGTAATCACCCATGGAACTGTCTGCTTCCTGGAGATGTTGCCTGAAAGCAACGTCTGGGACAACAAGTATTGCACATCAAGTATGAGACTCTATGGCCCTAAACTGGAAAAGTCTTTGGGATGGATTTACCCAACGGGAAAACCAACCGCCACCCACTGGGCACGAGAACTCTGCGCAGAGTTGCTGCGCGGAGTTGACTCGTTGAGGCCAACCCTGCTGGGCTGATGGAAGTTCCGGCAGTCGACGTTTTTCCCCACCAGGTCATGGCTCATGTATGCTCATGGTGGTTAGATGTATGTCGTAACTCTTCCAGTCATCATGGATAGCCTGGCATCGGACGATGAATGATCTTCAACACGCTCCCATCAAGCTCAGTCAGCGTGTCCCAGGCCGAAAGAGTTTGCAATGTCGAATGGAATTTATAGAATAGTATTGATTAACATTGTCGATTTAATGTCTATTTTTGGTTATATTGCGGTTCATTATACCTCAACCTGGGCTGAATGAACCAATTTAGTTGACAATGTTGATCAATCGTTGCAAGCTTGTTCAGGGTGTCCTGTGCCTTCGCAGCAATGTTCTGCACAAGAACAAATTACAACAAACAATTGTTTACACTACTTTCAGACTGGCCTGTAACATTTCAGTGAAGTTTATTTGAATATGTTGAATCTAGATGAATCTGGTAATGCACTGGAAATCCTTCTATCTCCTTAGTGACCACCATCAAGATGATGAGCCCGCAGTGGAAGGCTCTACAGAACAGTGGAGTGACGGACATTTCGAGGAAAAACTCCTACAAATATATGGTCAAATAGTTGTTCTTTCTTAAGCTCTCAATTCAATACAACTCATCCCCCCAAACGAATGAATGCTCCGACCAGCAAGATCCCTTCACCAACATTCAGTGACCTGCGATACCAGGCACCCGGGCCACTGGGGTACGAAGCCTGGGTCGCTGAATGCACACTTCAGGAAGCTCCACCTGCAGCTCGGCGCAGCTCGGCGCATCGGGAAGAAACACTTGGCAATGGCAGCCTGCTGTTCTCACCGAGTTCCAGGCGTTCTGAGGGTTTGGATGTTGCCAACATGAACGTTTGGGTCCAAAGCGGAACCCAAACGTGACGCTGGGTTCCGTGGTAGCTGGATCCACTGCGAGACACCAAAACGTCTGCCAAATCCGATCATCAAAAAACAGGCGGACACGGAGTGAAGACATGTGAACAGAATGAACTGAACCACGCGATGATTCACGACCCCCCTCGGGTCATGCAAAACCATACCATCCGCTCCCACATCAATTCAACCAGGGCCCTCCGCCACCACTGCGGGGATTCCTGTGGTTTTTCATCCGGTGAACACCTGCTGATCTCTCGGTTCGCCCGCCGGCGGTTCGACCGCCGGCGGTTCGAAACCACGGAGAAACGGGGTTCCAAGCAAGGCCAATAGCCAAAAGGCGTTGAAGAAGAAGGCCCGCAACTGGGCTGTTCGCGAAACGGTGGCGAAACGGTGTGTGGTTCCCGGTCTTTCATCACCTTCAGGCAGCCTCAAGGGGGGAGCACGAACACACAGATATGCTTTTGTTTGTGGGAAGGTGGGGGGATTGTCCTGTGTGTTTAAAAGGCCGTGGGGAATCAATGATTGCTGATGCTTGAAGATGAGGATCCAAATTTAATTGTCTGGTGTAAGTCCACTTCAAACTTATTCAAAGTCTTGTCTTGGTGACGGTTCCTGTTTTGTTTGTTTTTTGATTTTTCCCGAATGCGTAGCGAAGGGTTCCCGTTTATAGTTGGGGGTCTGGGGGTTGGAGCTGTGTTTGCGTGGCTTGCGTCGTGTCGTCGTCTCTCGTCATCTGTCGTCGTCTGTCGTCGTCTGTCGTCGTTTGTCGTCGTTTGTCGTCGTCGTCGCGTCTCAAATTCGCTGCCATTGGGGGAAGTTTTTGCAAGTGACGTGTCACGTGTCAGTTTGCGCCGCTATTACATTGCGATTTGCATGACAGTGACATGTCGCGCAAGAAACGTGATGCATTTCGCTGCACAGGCGCAGCGTTTTGTGAGATCCGCGGTTTGCTGCGCAGTTCCATTGGGTTAGCGTTTGGAGAGTCGTGTTTTTGGGGTGTTGGATGCGGCCGTGCCATTGGAATTTGCGTTTCAGGGTGTGGCATCGAAGCTCGGTTTTCGTGACAAGTCTCAGCTGAAATGGCGATTTTGGTGGATGGGAGTGTGCTCAGAACGGGTCGAAATCATTCCAAACGTGTGGTGTGGTGCAATTTTTGTTGAAGCTCACATGAGATGATATTGTCACTTTTCGTGGCAGGCGCAGGACTTTGCGCGGATTTTGAGGCGTGGAATTGCGATTCTCGTGGCAGCGCAGGGAATCGTGAGGTTGTAAGGTGTGACGGAGGTGACATTTCGTGGCAGGCGCAGTACTTTGTGCGCGTTAGACGTGTGGACGCGGAAAGATTCGTGGCAGGCGCAGGGACCCCTGCCGCAGGGAATCGTGAGGTTGTGAGTTGTGGTAGAGGTGAATGTCGCTGTCACATTGGGATTGGCGTGTGAGCTGGAATCGCGAAACTGCTTGGCAGGGCTGCGTGATGTGTGTGCTCCGATGGGTGTTTCCGCTTGACTTTTGGAGGAAGTCTCGTACGAAACGCTCGTTTTGCAGACTTTGACGTGTGAGTTTTTGAGGAAGTCTCGTACGAAACGCTCGTTTTGGAGACTTGACGTGTGACTTTTGGAGGAAATCTCGTACGAAATGCTCGTTTTGGAGACTTGACGTGTGACTTTTGGAGGAAGTCACGAGTATCCCACAAGAGTTTCCTACAAGAGTGTCCCACAAGAGTGTCCCACAAGAGTGCCCCACAAGAGTGTCCTACAAGAGTGTCCCACTAGAGTGTCCCAGAAGAGTGTCCCGTATGAGTGTCCTACAAGAGTGTCCCGTAAGAGGGTCCCACAAGAGTGCCCCACAAGAGTGTCCCACAAGGAGTGTCCCGTAAGCCGTGTCCCACAAGAGTGTCTCACAAGAGTGTCCCTTAAGAGTGTCCCACAAGAGTGTCCTACAAGAGTGTCCCACAAGAGTTTCCTACAAGAGTGCCCCACAAGAGTGTCCCACAAGAGTGCCCTACAAGAGCGTCCCACAAGAGTGTCCTACAAGAGTGCCCCGCAAGAGTGTCCTACAAGAGTCTCCCACAAGAGTTTCCTAGAAGAGTGTCCAACAAGAGTGGCCCACAAGAGTGTCCCACAAGAATGTCCTACACGAGTGTCCCACAAGAGTGTCCCACAAGAGTGTCCCGTATGAGTGTCCCTTAAGAGTGTCCCACAAGAGTGTCCCGCAACAGTGTCCCACAAGAGTGTCTCACAAGAGTGTCCCTTAGAGTGTCCCACAAGAGTGTCCCGAGTATCCCACAGTGTCCCTTAGAGTGTCTCACAAGTGTGTCCCACAAGAGTGTCCGACAAGAGTGTCCCAAAAGAGTGACCCACAAGAGTGTCCTACAAGTCCTATAAGAGTGTCCCACAAAAGTGTCCTACAAGAGTGTCCCACAAGAGTTTCCTACAAGAGTGTCCCACAAGAGTATCCCAACAGAGTGCCCTACAAGAGTGTCTCACAAGAGTGTCCTACAAGAGTGTCCCACAAGACTGTTCCACAAAATTGTCCCACAAGAGTGTCCTACAAGAGTGTCCCACAAGACTGTCACACAAGACTGTCCCGTATGAGTGTCCCACAAGAGTGTCCCGCAACAGTGTCCCACAAGAGTGTCTCGCAAGAGTGTCCCTTAGGAGTGTCCCACAAGAGTGTCCCGCAACAGTGTCCCACAAGAGTGTCCCGTAAGAGTGTCCCACAAGAGTGTCCTACAAGAGTGTCCCACAAGAGTGTCCTACAAGAGTGTCACGTAAGAGAACAGTGTCCCACAAGAGTGTCCCTTAAGAGTGTCCCACAAGAGTTTCCTACAAGAGTGGCCCACAAGAGTGCCCCACAAGAGTGTCTCACAAGAGTGTCCCACAAGACTGTCAGGAGTATCCCACAAGAGTGTCGCACAAGAGTGTCCCACAAGAGTGTCTCACAAGTGTGTCCCACAAGAGTGTCCTACAAGAGTGCGCTACAAGAGTGTCCCGTAAGAGTGTCCCACAAGAGTGTCCTACAAGAGTGTCCCACAAGAGTGTCCTACAAGAGTGTCACGTAAGAGAACAGTGTCCCACAAGAGTGTCCCACAAGAGTGTCCCTTAAGAGTGTCCCACAAGAGTTTCCTACAAGAGTGGCCCACAAGAGTGCCCCACAAGAGTGTCCCACAAGAGTGTCCTACGAGAGTGTCCTACAAGAGTGTCCCATAAGAGTGTCCCACAAGAGTGTCCCATAAGAGTGTCCCGTAAGAGTGTCCCACAAGAGTTTCCTACTAGAGTGTGTCCCAGAAGAGTGTCCCACAAGAGTGTCCCGTAAGAGTGTCCCACAAAAGTTCCCTGCAAGAGTGACCCACAAGAGTGTCCCACAAGAGTGTCCTACAAGAGTGGCATTTGGACATGTGTAGCTTTTCGAACGTGTTTGCATTCGGGTTCGTGGGCTCCATCTTGTTTTTTCTCCGAGGCTTTACAGGCAATTTACAGGTGCAAGGAATCTGCAGAATCCTAGCTTTGCTAACAAGTGCAGCTACTAGTAGCTTCTTGCTACTAGTAGTCATGCCCCTGTTACCCTCGTTAGTAACTTCTTGCTGTTCCATTCTTCACACCGCCCAAGCGTTCGCGGTGTATAGGTATCTTCCGAGCGGAGAGGTCCATACCAGGTCGGATCGGGGAGGCGACAACGATCCGGCGGCCATACTTGCACATGTATAAATTATACATATAAATATATATTAAAATTAAGCTATACATGTATCATACGCTATAGTAGCATTTGTCTTGTTCACCACCCAGCTCTTCCTCGTCTCTGTGCGGTCTCCATTCGTCTCCTCTTTGGACCCGGCGAAGGCCGCTTCTAAGGGCTCTCCACGCCATCGCCCCAGCCTCGAGACCGCGATGCCGTCTTCATGTTGGGGGGCGAGAACTCTCCCGGATTCGCCCGACCCTTTTCTAACGACCGTCTGACCGCTCCGCTTCATAGTTGTTTAGAGAACATCCACCAAGGGGGGTGATGCCAGCATTGCTTCTGCTACATGCATGGCGTCCGGCCAAGTCGCGAAACGACGAGGACGGCGACTCTTCGAACCGTTCGCCCTGGGTTTGAAAAAGCGCGGGGTTTGCGTATGGTGTTCCGTCGTTCCGTTGGTCTGCATGGGTGTCAAATGATGGGCAAAACAAATCAAAACAGCAATAATCAGTACATGATCAGCACACATTGATATGTTGAGCCTAATGGTTGCTGAAATCCATGACTGCGAACATGGAATAGCATCAGGAAAGCACAATTTCGTTCTGCCAAGACTTCTACGAACTCATGCACGACAAACAGTGCCAAGCTGGTATAAAGCTGGCAACTGTGGCATCTTGCGACATGCGACATGCAACAGGCTCTATTTGCAAGCACAGTGCCCTTCACCACTGGAACATCCGTGGCCAAGGGAGGAGGTGCCGACACTCCCACTATCCCAGCTATACATTGAGCATGCACTCCAGCTTACAAAGAACGCAGCTGGTTTCATGCTGAGCAAACATTGGCAAACTTGTCCCGGTGTTGCAAATCGTATCTATTCACCAGCAATTACTGCCTCATGTCGAGCCTAATGGTTGCTGAAATCCATGATTGCGAACATGGACTAGCATCAGGAAAGCGCAACTTCACTCTGCCAAAACTTCTACGAGCTCATGCACAACAAACAGTGCCAAGCTGGTATAAAGCTGGCAACTGTAGCATCTTGCAACTTAACATGCAACAGGGTCTGTCTGCGAGCACAGTGCCCTTCACCACTGGAACATCCATGGCTAAGGGAGGAGGTGCCGACACTCCCACTATCCCAGCTATTACATTGAGCATGCACTCCAGTTTACAAGGAATGCAGCTGGTTTCATGCTGAGCAAACATTGGGAAACTTTGCCTGGTGTGGCAAATCGTATCGACTCACCAGTAATTTCATGTAAAGCCTCATGTCGAGCCTAAAGTTGCTGAAATCCATGACATTGATTGAACACGGACTAGCATCAGGAAAGCACAACTTCACTCTGCCAAGACTTCTACGAGATCTTGCACGACAAACAGTGCCAATCTGGTATAAAGCTGGCAACTGCTTGCAACATGCAACAGGGTCTGTCTGCAAGCACAGTGCCCTTCACCACTGGAACATCCGTGGCCAAGGGAGAAGGTGCCGACACTCCCACTTTGCCAGCTATACATTGAGCACGCACTCCAGCTTACAAGGAACGCGGCTGGTTTCATGCTGAGCAAATATGAGCAAACCGTGCATGGCATCGAGTCATTCATCTGAGATTCGCCATACCAATGAGCAAACCGTGCATCTGGTTGAGAAAGAACGAGACCCAAAGGCACCGCTCCAATCAGGAAAAGAAACCTATCGCTCCGATGGTGAACATCCTGCACCAAAGCACTACCAAATAGATACTGCAACTGCGAGTGATTCTGAAAGAAAAACGTGGACCCAGTACAAATACCAAGAACATTTTATAATATGTTCCTTTGGCTGGTGCAAGATTTCATCGAGAAAACACCCGCAACACCCGCGCGAAACGGATGCGTGGGAACCCCGGCCCCCTGAGCATGAAGACAAAGTTGAAAGCATACCTTGGGCGGTTAAAGTGATATTGATACAACGGGTCGGGTTGTAGCAGCGGCCGCGCGTTTGCACGGGTGAAGTCACAGAAAGACACGTGTGAAGTTCCATCATGGTGTTGTCAATGACCATCAACCCCTCCGCGTTGTGCGTTTTGTTGATGTTCCGACTAGGTTTGTTCTAAAAACATGATACAAATACATATAAAAACATCAATAATATATACATTCCATCCATCTTTGGCTGACCGCTGGCGCCCTGGCATCCTGTTTGGGGTTTGGGCTGACCGGTCCACCGTGGCCTGCGCCTGACGCCACCACTCACTCAGGCCATGATTGCACAACCCACAAGGTCACAGGACAAAACGTTTCCCCAAATGCCACTTACCACACCGGCACATACGAAAAACAATTGGCCTTTTGGGAAAATGTGTGTGTGGGAAGGCACCAAGTCAAACGAATACCGAATACGTATGTTTTGATCCTTCCCTGTTACAGTTCGACACCAAGAGGGTCCTTCAACTCCTCCACCTACCCATGAGAAGGACATAAGAGAAAGTACTTGGCACCCATGGCTTTAGCCAGCATCGATGGTTTGCTAACTACGGGGCTGCTGGAACGTTCATCATTCTGGTGCTTGACCCAACAATATCCAAAGCAAGGACAACATGACAAAATTGAGGTTACTCAGGTCTGTTTGTTTCGCCCGATTGAGCAGGGAAAACAAGTGGTTCAAGTGAGGGTGTCCACGGACAAGGCAGGGTTTTGTCGGTTTCTCTGGAAGGAAACCTTTTTTGGCAGAAACTACCAACACCACCCGGCCATTCTGTTGACACGCGTTGAGCATGAGGGGGACTTTGCAAAGGAAGAAAAGTTTGGGTGCAAATGAATATGCCCGAAGTTGGTATGATATTAATACATGAGCACTGTAAAACCTCAGCCTCACTGCAATTGAAAAACGTGTGGCGGGCGCCTGGACAATAACCATTTTTAAAGCTGAAGATCACCACTCGGGCACATCCAATGGACTAGTTACAAACAGCACTGAGTGGAGGGACCCGCGACCAAAAGGATATTGGTTAGCTCTTGTTTTTCACACAACCACAGAAGCTAAATCTGAAGGGCAATCTGGCAAGGAATCAGCCAGGCCCCATTGCCCTTCCCAACGTCCACTGAACACTTTGTGCAAGACCGGGTGGAAACACACCAAAGTATCGAACGTTTCAAGACTTTTAGAGTGTGCTATAACTTGAGCTGGAACACTGACCTCTGCTGCTGTGGTCATGTGTGGGTGTTGGCTGATCTCACCCCTTGCTTCGGGAAGCAGTAGAAAGCCGTCAACTGGCCCAGCAACATTCAGCTGACCCAACTTGCTCTTTCATAAGCCTCTACATGCGAATTGTGCACATATTTGAGCTCTTCGTGCGCTTACCTGGGAACTGTCACTGTGAAGAGCTGCCAGCTTGCGTTAGACGGGCTTTCTCCAAGTCTTTCACCCACTCTTTTAGAACTCGGCACAATGGCGGCAGACCGTACCCTTGGATGCGCTTGTCGGACTTCTGACTCCGCTGCTGCCAAGAACGCGCGTCGTTCAAGACGATGAGGTTTAGTTTGGCATTCCCTACTCACACTTGCCGGGAGAATCTCCCATTGTAACCATCTGCCAAAGATTTCCTCGTCCTTCCAGCTTTTACATATCCACCCTTATCGTCTCACGCTAACCACCTGATTGTCACTCTCCGTCGCAGATTCGCCACTCGTCTGCCCAGGCGGCCATTCGAAGAAGAAAATGCCCAGCACCAAGAGCACCGGGCCGACCGAGACCTTGAGTAGGTCATCTCTCGCACCCTTAAGGGCATCGGTGAACCATTCGCCCAAACATGTATGGACTGTATGGAACTATGAACTATGTATGGAATAGAATAGATGCCATACATTGACCCCAGGTCAGCCACCCCAATGTATGTAAAGATTGCCTTATGGAATGTCTGGAAAATGGCTGATGTCTATTGCGAATCAAGAAACCAAAGAATGGACAAATACTGGAGGGATTCCCCTGATGTGAATATGATATGTTGTAAATATTCTATGCCAAGCAGCCAGCCCCGCTCTGGACACATCCAATCTTGTTAACAAAAGTTTGCGGTTTACCGGTTTACCGGTTTATCGCTTGCAAGTCTGACAAGTGTAGCTTTGGAAGCATCGCATGCCAAATTTTACTTGGCTCCCCGGCCACGCGAATCAAGGTATTGTTTGCATACATGGCTTGCAGGATAAATTCTCTCGAACCACAACTGCAGTTGATTGTCCTGTGGATCTTCCATTGGCATCAAACGGGTCATGTATACTGTATGCTGTACTCATGGGTTCTAAGCATGTTGAGGTCTTCTAAGTCTTTGTTTTCCTCGCCAAAAGGTGCCTTTCGGGGACCAATTAGGATACGTTGCTTTGGGAAGCTGCGGGGACTGGGGGGGCACGACTGCATAAAAAGGACACATCACATCCATTAGGCAGTTGCAGAAAGTGAGCTGTATTTTTTCCATGTCATCCATCTTCAGTCGCCCGGAGGGACGGACGACTTCTCATGCCCCCCATCTGTTCAATATCAAACATCTGCCCGAGTGTGTGTCGATCTGAACTTCAAAGCCCTGACTGTGACTGCAGGAAGTTTTGAACCTTGCACTTGTAAAGGTCTCAACAGAATGATACTGATACTATCTGATACTGCGGCAAATACTGATACCCATACTGCTACATGGCAGCTTTCAAGAAATCACGTCTGGATCCTTGCCGCAGCTTCGCTTGTGGCTCCAATGTGGCTCCCATAAATACCCAAAACGCTCGGGCTTCGAGCCAACAAAAGCAAAAAAAGAAAGATCGCGGTGGGTGCGAAGTCCATCAGTGGTCAACCACTGTTTCCACGGGTGGTTCTTGGTGGTTCTTGTTTCTTTTCTTGAAGCCGTCTGCTAGGCCTAGCATCCCCAAGTGGATGGTGATTCTCCCCACAGTTGGTTGGGGGGGATCTACCTTGGGATAATACTATAATTGACAACTAACAACATTGAACATCATTTAACAACTACCCTGCGCATCCTGTACAATCTGTACATGATCACTTCTTCAGCAACCAGTATGTCCAACATTGATGCAGTCTTCTAGATTCTACCCAATCAGTGTTTGCTGCACATGTTGAGGGAATCAATAGCCGTGAGCGAAAGATTCCAAAAGCTGCGAGCTAGGGAAGTTGCATCCAGAAAAATAAAAAAAGAACATTAAAAACATTGAAAAACGACACTTCGAAAATCGGGTGAAGAGACCGGTTTCTTGCCACCAAAACAACACAATTCTCCGGCTTCCCCACTCAGTGGCTTCCTCCAATCCCCTCCCCTCCCCTCCAGATCCGACGTCCGGACGCTGTCGGAGCCGGTACGCTCAGTCCGACCGGTCAGAAGTATCTACTCCGGGTGCCATAAGACCAAGGTGCCATGAAACTTATTACAAAGCTCTGGTCCTTAAAGTTTATGTCATCTCTGGTGTGATTGTTGAGATCAACAATCTTCGGAGTGTCTGGTCCCCAGCCATCTTGCATGATTGAACAGTTGTGCCCACCAAGAGAATGCTATGGAACTTCAATGAACTTCATACCTCACTGATAAATCATTGGAACCCACGCTGTTCCGCGTGACCACACCTGACCCTTCACTCTTCCACTCATGTCACCGGTCCAGCTCGTCCCAACCTGCGTCCCGCGTCCGCCTCTCGTCGTTTCGGGATCGCACGTCGATCGCCTGTTGGTGACGTCTTCGCCCTTGGTCACGACCAAGTATTGCAGCAGGGACATGCGTCGGCCTTCTTCGGGAGGCTCCTTCTTCGTTGGTGTTGTCTTTGTCTGAAACAAGAGGGACGGGGATGGAGGATGGAGGATGGCGCGAGGTGAAAAGCCCTGAAAACGATCTCTGAGTGCTGCCCTTTGTGCTCTCATCCACATGGCAAATTAAAACACCTCAAATCAATCAAATGCCTGGCAAAATGCTGTTTGACCAAAAATGCCGTTGCAAATGCATTATACCGTGGGTGAGCTGCTCAGCTGCTTGGGAAAGGTCCACCTCCGGCGCTGAAAGACCATCCCCCAACAATCCATGCAAAGCTAAGCAACATATCTAATCCACCATTATCTACCAACATTGGCCGGAGAAAAAGATAAAACAAGGGGGTCAAAGGGCAAATACAGTAAGTTAAACAAGTCTCATGGGTTGTCAGAGATCAACATGGATCAACACTTCATTGCACTTCCTGGAAGGTACCTAGACGATCAACCTAGAGGACCTACGGAAGGCGATCCTGGTGGTCGCAGGCAAAAAAAAATTACTTTACTTCGAAATTCCCCACCCTCAAAGAATTGGTCTTCGCAAGAGAAAAGCGGTTCGGCGCGAAAAGGATTCTTTATTGAAAGCAAAACCACACATCGAGTACTTACTTGTGAGGTTTCTGAACTTCGATATTTTAATGCCTGGCAACCCCGCATCCCTGCCAAGTCAACTTGTGGTGGATATGCTGTGGAACTGGTACTTGGGAGCACTCTGGTGAATGTGCTGGTGTAAAGGCTACGCTGGGCTACTCACTCTGGTGGATGTGCTGTGTAAGGGCTACTCTGGGCCACTGTGGGCCACTCTGGTGGATGTGCAGAAGTAGCGAGTCTACTGAAGTCCAAAGTTCTTAAAATCTAACAGCCCCACAGTCCTACGGGTGGGGAAAAAACTGCTTTGATAAGTACATTACAAGTCTACAACTATCCTGCGATCTCTTTGGTAGATGTGCTGTGGAGAAGCTAAGTTGCGCGACTAAAAACTGTGGTTGCCGTGGACAAGCTAAGTTGAACTACTTAGAAATCAGTTTGTGAATGTGCTGTGGAAGAGCTAGGCAGCTAGGTTTAGCTACTCAGGGATCAGTTTGGTGAATGTGGTGTGAATACTCAGAGGTCATTTTGGTGAATGTGCTGTGGAAGTGCTACGTTGAATTACTCAGGGATTACTTTGGTGAACAGGGATCAGTTTGGCGAGCGTGCTGTGAAAGAGCCACTTTGGGCTACTCAGAGATCACCTTGGTGAACGTGCTGTGGAAAAGCTAGCTTGAATACTCAGGGATCACTCTGGGGAACGTGCTGTGGAAGAGCTACTTTGGGCTACTCCGGGATCTCTTTGGTGAACATGCTGTGGAAGTGCTGCGTTGAACTACTCAGGGATCACTTTGGTGAGTGTGCTATGGAAGAACTGCTTTGGGCTACTCAGGGATTACTTTGGCGAGTGTGGTGTGGAAGAGCTAAGTTGGGCTAGTCAGGGATTCCTTTGGTGAACGTGCTGTGAAAAAGCTACTTTGGGCTTCTCAAGGATTACTTTGGTCAACGTGCTGTGGAAGATCTAAGTTGGGCTACTCAGGGATTACTTTGGCGAGTGTGGTGTGGAAGAGCTAAGTTGGGCTAGTCAGGGATCCTTTGGTGAACGCGCTGTGGAAAAGCTACTTTGGGCTTCTCAAGGATTACTTTGGTCAACGTGCTGTGGAAGATCTAAGTTGGGCTACTCGCGGACTACTTTGGTGAGTGTGCTGTGGAAGGGCTAAGCTACTCAGGGACCACTTTGGTGAGTGTGCTGTGGAAAAGCTAAGTTGGGCTACTCAGAGACCACTTCATGAGTGTGCTATAGAAGAGCTAAGTTGGGCGACCGGGCGTACTGAAGTCCGAAGTTCAAAAAAACCTAACAACCGACAGGCCTACGGGTGAGAAAAACGCAGCTTTTGTTGGCTTGATAAGTACATTGCAACTCTACAACTACCTTGGAATCACTTTGGTAAATGTGCTGTGGAGAAGCTAAGTTGCGCTACTAAGAACTGTGGTTGCTGTGGAAGAGCTAAGATGAGCTACTTAGGAATCAGTTTGTGAATTTGCTGTGGAAAAGCTAGGTTTAGCTACTCAGGGATAAGATTGGTGAATGTGGTGTCAATACTTAGAGGTCATTTTGGTGAATGTGCTGTGGAAGTGCTACGTTGAACTACTCAGGGATTACTTTGGTGAACAAGGATCACTTTGGCGAGCGTGCTGTGGAAGAGTTAAGTTGAACTAGTCAGAGATTACTTTTGTGAGTGTGCTGTCAAAGAGCTACGTTGAACTACTCAGGGATTACTTTGGTGAACAGGGACCACTTTGGTGAGTGTGCTGTGGAAGAGCTACTTTGGGCTACTCAGGGACCACTTTGGCCATTGTGCTGTGGAAGAGCTAAGTTGCGCTACTCAGGGGCCACTTTGGCC